AAATTACAAGAGGTTTCCAAAGGTATTCCCCATCAGTTGTCCTCAGAAATTCTCTTTCTTGCAACTTTCAGGTGAAACCAGTCCCAAGAAACCCATCTGTCCTCTTTTCATTTTCCTCAATTCTGTCTGGACAACTAGGGCAAATTGAATACCATTCAGCGAGTTTTTTTTTTCACTCTGAATGGTGTCGGGGATTGTACCAATGCTGGCACTCAGACATCACCAATGCTCCAGAAAAAAAAATGGAGTTAACGATCCAGACTTCATAAATAATTCCAAAATCAATACTTATAAAATAAAAAATGGCATGACGCAAGAGAACTCAAACGATTTCATAACCCCCTCTATAATATAAATTCCCATAAATAAATTACTCTGTCATATGGCAGTTGCGTATGTTTATCGTTTTCACAGGCAGAAAATGTAAAAATAAATATGAGAAATTAAACCTACCCGCATAGCCCAATAAATGCACGCTCTTTGGCACTTTCTGCTGGTTATTCGCAATAACCAACTTGTGTAAGAGAGTGTCTATTAATGTACCCTCGAGTAGCCCGTAGATGCGCCAAACGGCTTGAGACATTGATTTTTAATCAACGCAAATTCAAATTGAAATCAAATAAGAACTCACATTTTTTCATTATTTATCTTCATCTGCATAAAAAACAAAAATGTATCATAATTTTGCCTTACCATACTGCCCTTCAAATTTTTTCCTCCACTACTGGAACTTTAATTAAAAACAGTGAACAATTACCAGTCAAGTGATGAATTACGATAATTGGATTTTTATTGAAGCGGCATTCAAGCCAATATCTCGAAATTGATGCGACATAGCAAATTTTTTGCATGAACATTTTCTATAGAAAAAGCTGAGAGCGACAAAAAAGGTATTATTGAAAAAATCATGATTTTCCTTCAATCTCGAGAAATCGGGTAAAAAAGCGTCGATAAAAATATTTGGAATGTATGTTTGGAGTGATAGAAGCTGTTGGAAAAATTATAATAAAAATTGGTGGAGGGAAAATGAGAGAAGGGGATGAAAGTGGGTTCTTTCATCCTGACTTTAAATATTTTGCACCCCAAACGGTAAAATAGAGTGAGATATATTCTCCTTCCGGAGCGTCGCAGCCTTTGAACTCTCAGAGGGGGAGTTCTCCAGACGCTATCATCATACATAAACCTCCAACGCAATCGCGCACGTGCGCAAAACCGCAGTGTTTTTTAATACTACACGTTTAAAACGACGTTGTACCGCAGGTGCGCAAGAGTCCACAACGCCGTGACCAAGGAATGCTTATAATTTCCCTTCTTCTGGCATTATTTTTTTCCTGGGGTTCGCCGTGTTCAACACTCATTCGCTATAGATTCACGCAGGAAATATTAAATAATTATGCGCATTGTGGTGGGTACAACTGCGCTGGAACTATTATTAACTTGGTTAAATTAAAATAGATGGATTTCCTTTGAAGAACCGGAGGGAACTCGGTAAAAATTGCTAAACAGCGATTCCAGGTATTTTGACGGTGTGGGGTGAGACGGTGTTGAAATATTTATCGGGGATTTGTGGATTGAATCATGATGTTTGGTTGTTTGTGCTCATTAGGTTGTCAGTGGCCAACAACTCAGGGGATTTTTTAAAATAAAAATTGTAAATTCTGTAGTGAGGAGAGTACCTGTTCGGTTTAGGTGGTAAACACTTTTTTTTTCAGGGTGTGGAATTTTTTAGTGATTTTTTTTCCCAGGCTGTCCTGGTGGGGTGTCGTACACCTGAGGGTTTACGGTGTGTATAAGGAGTTGGATGATTAGAGATGGAAGGAAGCACTGACCGGAAGCCACGCACGAAGATGTGACGCTTGGTGGAGTCGTATATTCGTCTTCGGGTACGAAGTGTCAAGGAAAACATTCGACACGAGTTCAATGTTTTCCGAATATGTATTCTTGTCTTTCGCTCAGGACGACTACTGTTTTTGTGATTTTAGGGCACTTGGACTTTCCGGTAGCACTTGGCAAAATTTGTTTGAGTATTTGGAAAACATGGCAAGTACTTGGGAAACGGAAACTGAAAAGTCCTCGAGAGTCACAAGTTTTCTCACAAGTGTTTGGGAACAAGAGGTGTAACAATAGATGACTGTTGCAATAGGCAAAATAATTGCCTGAAATAACACATGGCTGTGAGGGTTTTTTGAATGGTCCTTTTAACTGAACTTTGAAATTTTAAACGGTTCTCATTTTCAGGACTCATTATTGAGGAAATTTCGCTGTTGCTACTGGAACGATTTAAACGTAAATTAGATATTTTTTAAAATAACACCATCAATAGAATATTCATGAATTGAGGAGATTAATAATTCTCAACGAGAAAAGAATACGATCCACGAGTCGTGAATACGAATAGTCATAGATTCGTGAGAACAAATCGTTCCTTAAAATATAGATAGAGCATGTCCTCACTTCAGAGATTTTCTATTCTAGTTTCAATTACCGAGAAATACTGACGTTGTATCTATTTATTTTGAAATTTAGAATGACGCTTCGTTAATTTTTTTCTCAAGGCGACCCGTGATTTTTCACATTCCAAAAGAAAAACACCGAGACCATTACCCTCTGTAAAAAATACCATTTTTAACATTTTTTCCGTCATTTCTTTTTCCAAGAAAGAAAAAATTCCATGATGACAGTGGGGGGAAACTGTCACAACAATATTTCACCCTGGATATACTTGTCCCCCAGGATTTTCCAACCGGAAGAATACTTGCCGTGCACATCCCAGGACATCAGCACGATTTCCAAGAATGATTTTCACCTTAAAATTCACTTGACAAAAATAATGATTTCTATGAGTGAAGAAAAAAAATCGGAGGAACGTGTGTGCACGAAAATTTTCCGTGGACCAAAAAAAATATCTGGGTAATTTTTTTTGGCTGTTGAGGGTGTCGACAGCTGGATGACGATCGTTTAGAAATCTTGATATCTCCAACACCTTGCCCCGTCCCGGAAGTCATCGGCCACGTGCCCCCGTGACTTATGTATCCTCCAACTGTAATATTAATTATTAAAAAATCAGGGATTTTCAAGCAGTGGTCCTGAACGAGGAGAAAGTACGGGGGAGGGGGGAGGGGGGCAAAGTAAACAGGGATTTAATGCATTTTGCCCCAGGAGGTGCAAGCCCAACAGAGTGTCAGCGGGAAGTCTACGGTTGGGCTGACGGAATTATTATTCTCCACTTCCCGCGTACATATTCTACAGAAGTCACTGCGATTCTTCCTGTCAATGCTATTCGCAGCTTGTCCAAAAAATAAACTAAAGAGAAGACAATTTATTCAACCGAAAAAATCTTGGAATTGCGGAAGATGTATTTTTATTTCGACGAGGGAATGTTTGAATGGGCTTTGGAGAATAATAAATTTACATCGGAATTATTCAATTCACTCCTGCGAAACGATTCAATTGAAATTCCTCAAGAAAACATACCGAAATTTACAATAATAATATTATTTATTTAAGATGAGCCACTGGAAGACAGATAGCTTTCGTTTTATTACCGTCAAAACGGAAAAACCATGGCAGCGGATGTAGGAGGAGGATTTTGAAAAAATCTAACTATTCGTAAATTTGTGGAACAGCTGAAACTCATAAGAAATGCGGTGAAACAATACCAAAAGAGGAATATTCTGTAACTCTCCTTTGACCGATTTTCGCCCCCGCCGCCCATGCAATTTAAGCACAACTTCCGGTCCTGACGGTCCTCTCCTTCCAAGTCCTGACGAAGAGCTAATTTACACGGTTTATGTCTTCCGTTGATAAATAAGAGAAATAAAAGGGAATGAAGAAATTTGAGGAAAAGATGAACCGTCATCTCTTCTACTGAATGGGTTGAGAAAATCGGATGCTCTCAATTCGGAGATTGACAGTGGTTGTGAGATGAACATACCACTGTACGAATGAAAAATCTCCGGGTTAGGCCAGTAGCTCTGGCCTATGGCACGAGGTGGTCGACGGCAAACACATGTTCCAAACGTGTTTCCTCCGCCCTCGATGTACCCTGGTGGCTCCCAGCCAGGGATTTCTATTGCGTTAAAGAAATATATATTAGGGTACTTGACATATGATGCCGCTCACAAAACACCCGAAATCTCTACCTGCTCAATCCATTTCACCAATTTACTTTACCACGTTCCAATTAATACTTGCAAATATTTCCGATCAAAGATAAATTTCTCCACTCATAATTCAATTTCAGATATTTATATTTCGTTTGATTTGGATGCAGATTTTATTTTGAAAATGGTTTTCTGTCAATTTCTGTGGATATCGAAGAGAAAAATTTGAAATGTTTAGTAAATCTTCGGAAATTGTGAAATCTAACAAGAATTTTACGAATTTACAAGATATTTCATAAATTTAAAATGTTCTTAGTGGTAATTTTTATTGAATACTATTTTTTTTCATGATCCTCCCCCATTATTTCCCTCCCCTAAAAAAAAATCCGCCCCCGAAAACCAAAAAACAGCCATGTTATTCATCATCATAACCCGCCCTCCCCGAGAAATGCAAAAAAATCGCGGCAAAATGGAGAAAAAATTGTGGTGGCGGGAAGTTGCAGTCTCCTGATGGATCTTTGGTCACAGCACGCACGTGTGCGTACGACAGTAGAACGAAGGGGTGCTACATTATCCCTAAATGTGAGAGAGAGAAGGGGGGGGTATAAATTAAAAGAGGCAATAAAAACGGGCAAACCCCAAAATGAAAAAAAAAAAAAAAAACAAATGTGCAAAAGGAAAGATTGAGAGAGGTGTGCGTGTGACGTTTGAGTGGTTGGTTTTTGAGTCGGAGGCGCATCTAGCCGACTGTAGGTTGGAGTGAGTATGAAGAAAAATGAAAAAATAAAGAAAAAAAAAGAAAAAAGGTAGTGGGGAAGACTGAACGGGGGTTGGTGGAGGGGAATGTGGGCGAGAGCGGTTTATTTCAAGCGACGCTCTGGCACTTCGCCCCGAGCTTCCTGAGAGGCATCCTTGGATAAAACGTCGGTCAGTGTCGTTTCACCACTCGCAACGAATGGTATCATTTGTCATTAATCTACTAATCTACTATTTCACTGGATTATCAACACATCGCAGTGCAATATCAATAAATCTGACGTTTGTGAACAATAATGGTGGAATAGTGCTCTGTGAGACTGAGATAAGTCATTGATAATAAGTGATTGAGATGATTGATAATTGGGAGAAACACGTGACAAGTGCTGAGTGAATATATATCTAACTCTAATTATCCAGTCCTACTTGCTCTGTGTTCACTGCTCTTAGGATTTTGGGACTGATATACGAGTCTTCTCTCGACTTGGGAATCCGGTGGAGAGAAAGAGGATCATAACTAGAAATCACTGTCAACTTGGTAAGCAAGAGTGATTCCAATAATTCTCATCTGACATTTTAAAATCCATTGGATAATCGTTACTGTCACGATCTTGATATTTATCGCATCGTTGAATTTCCAGTCGACTTAAGTATAAACTGCACAATGGAGTTCGTTAGTCTTTAATTGGTACTTAGATACCGGTGGCTCGTCTATTCCACTGTTGGCCATCGATATCACACAAAACATTCACAAGTAATCAGTGAAAAAAAAAAAAGATACTTAAATCACCTTTCATTAAGATTGTGAGGATTAACTAGGATGTGTTGAGTATTTACGACGAAATGATCGAGCGTTTGGAATTTTTATGGGGTAAAAATTCGTCGTTAGAATTGAAGTTGAAACAACCACTTACAGAGTACATTTCGTCGTCGTTAAAATTTCTCATTTAATTACTTGATAACAACAAACCGGTAGATATAATGGGAACGGTAGTAACAGGTATTTCAAAGACACCCAATCACAGCAATTGTGTAAATAAAAAATAACAATTACGTGAGCATTACTCGGATTTGATGATGAGGTGAATTGATTGGTGTGATGATACCTGTCGGATATCATTGATCCGGCATGATGAATTGATATCGGTTTAATCCACCCCAGGTGTTCGATTCGAAAATCGGTAAGAGTAAGAGATGACTGGGACTGGGAATTTAATGGAGTATTTTAATTCCTTCTGATTGTAAAACCGAGTGAATTTATAAGACACAGAGATGGTCACTCGGTTAACGAGATTACGCGTGCATAAACATGCTTCCGGTATTTACCCACGTTAACGATTAATAACGATAACTGGCGTGTGCTTCATGAGTGCATACCTTATAATACACGTGTACAAACGCCACAAACCAGTCATACTCAGCAACTCCTTTTTCTCCAAAACATAAATCGATGATTAATTAGTGATTATTACAGACATTGATAAATTATTCGATGGCAATATCATCCTCAATTCATTAGAATATGTTACCTATGTTACCAATAAATAACACTCCAATTAAACAGATGATTCATCATATTAATGATAAATAAAATTTTTGTTGATTCCCGCGAGACCGTCAATTAACATAAAATTTATTAGCACTGCTTCCTGAAAGTCATTCACACATTATCATAATACAAATGATTTTTATATTGAGCTTTGGATGAATGCGTGAGACAGTGGTACAATTGTTTGTTCTCCTTGAGAGGCCAGTTTAGCCCTGGATTATTTCATGAATCGAGTCGCATTAAAAAAACCGAGAGAGGGAGAGAGAGGTAAATTAGAGGAGGAGAGAATGTAAGAGAGTGTACAAGAAGCAGACTGCGATTTATTTGACAGATCGCACCGAGAGTCGAGTGCCCACAAGCAATAGTGGTTTATTTTATAAGGCGAGATTGTCGGGGGTTCTACCCAGTCGGAATAGAATAATGGGACATACTTCAAAATGCTGGGGTATGGGTTATTATATGTGCGTGAGTATAACACTGTATCATATACCTCATACCTCCCTATTCCCAATAACAAAATTATCAGACACATCCAAGATGCGACATTCTTATCCGGGAAAATTCAGAACGTTTGGGGGAAAGTAATCATTGTTGGTACTAATTACAAAAAAAAGTTAATATATCTGGCGGAAGAAATTTATTTTTTTCTGAGTGCAGTGGTCTGGGAAGGTTCTCTTGCACTTCAAAGGAATTCCCGATAGATTTTCTGTGGAAAAAGTGGCAAAAATTACTTCATTATCTCGCTCATGCATCTTTCTTGGTAAGATGCAGAGTCTAATGGAACGCGACACGCGCGTCGTTGACCCCCACCGCCAAGCAATAATTGTCAGTAGAATGCCCCGTTATTCATTGCAACAAAATGTGAATGCGGTTATGTCCCGGCAAAAGGCAAAGTGATGAGAAATAGTCAATGGGATGAAAAATATGTTTATTCATATGTAGAGTTTAAATGAGCGTGTAAGAAACATAAAGTGAATGATAGAAGGTGAATGCCGCGTGTGATAATTAATAAAATCTTCCTTCAGTGTTGCCTCGCGGGACACACGCCGAGACGTATAATTACTATCGATACTGCTTGTATAGGCTGAGGATTCTCAATCGTGTAGCTTTCAATTCTCAATCGCGATAAATCGTTGGATTCCAAGTCCATTGAAATCCTTCGTATCTCCACTAGTTTCTCTCTGCATGCCGCCATTCAAGATTTGTTGAAGTTTCATTGACACTTCGACATGTTCAATTTATTTTTCAAGTTCTAGAGATTGATTTCAAAATTTTTCAATGTCATTAGAATATTTGAAAAGATTTACCGCATCCTGAGGGATTTTTGAAAAAATCCTGAGGAAATTGCTCTCCTTCAGTTTTATTAAATTATTTGATAAATTTCTGGGAAAATATTTATATATTTCATCTCTTGTAAACAACGCTGAATACAACTTTTTCTGATTATATTAATAACTCCGGTGCGAGGGATATGTGTGCAGAAAATACATTTATGTATTTTACGAAATTCATTTCGTTCTCTGGGAGTCGCGACACCTACGCGATTTTCTCCATTTACATCCGGTTGAAATGAACGTTCCCTACGTAAACAATCAATGATAATCTTTCAACAATATTTATCAATAGCTCCTTCATAAAAATGCGAATAATCCCTAGATCTATCTTTCTCATCCAATTTTCCACCCAATTCCTCAACGTCGGCTTAACGTTTATCCCATGGGGATGACAAATATTTCCCCTCAATTGCTCGTTCATTACGCAATTAAATCGAAGGATAAGTGCAAAAGAAAATGCTTTATACTATCGTATAAATCAAGTAGTTGAGACTCAATTTCCCTGAACTGTTGGTCATCCATCTTTTATGCGTTTGAGTACTTCAACAATTTAGCTGAGTAAACTTGACCGCTGAATATACACACACATACTTCTAATTCTGGAGAATAATACTGCCTTTTTTTCAAAGAACAAAAATTCTTTCCAGTTTATCCAACATCACTGTTTATTCCCCGAATATAACTCTCCGCAATTTTACAAATAAGATTCCTGAATTCCATATCGATTAAACATTCTCAATTTCAGCAAAAGTTACATCAGGCATTTTTCTCAGCAAGAGAACAATCTCGATATATCAGAATATACTAAAACAAACGTTAATAAAACACTGCAAAGACCCATAAGAATATGCGCACGAGCCACGATAAATCTTGATCCGCCTTTCACGCTAATTACTCCGGTAGGTTGCACGTTTAATAATTGCTGGAAAATTTTCTCGAGCGTAAAAGTTCAAGTTCGCGAAGCGAATGAGAGAAGTGAAAAAAAAACCAACCGGCGGAATGAAAGAAGTACAAGCAAGTTCACCTACGGGGGGGAGGGGGGAGGAGGAGGAGTGTGAGGGGGTACAGGCTGTGTACAGGACTTTTCCCCTGCAGAGTTGTGTCGTAATTTATGGATGCCGTTCCCTTATCCGCAGGATACGAACTCCACTCTCTCCACACATTTGCTGTCCCTCTATCGATCCTATACAACCACCCACTGTACAACGGGTGACGATTTAATGTTACATTCGAATGAGAGTTGAATAAATTAATGGACAGGGTGAAAAATGGGGGGTGTGAAGTATATACTCATTATAGGATCGAATATTTCGGTGAAAATCGGGTACCTTGCAATATCGGGTACCTTCCGTTGGTTTGAGTATATATTCTATGAGCATATGCTCGGTATGTCTGGTATATACTTGATATATTGTTTTGGTCGAGAATATAAGGCTGTATATTATTTGCGTGTATATTTTTGTGATTCATGTTGATTCATATTTTTGACGGGAGAGAGTAATTGCATTTTTTTTCTTTGAAGTATTTTTGGAAATCGTTCCATTGGAGAAGTACCAGTTTTTTAATATAAGTAATTCTTTGGAATAGGTAGATGTATGGGAGAAATAAATGAGAAAAAAATTGTAGGAGCGAGGAAATAAATATTTTTGGAATCAAACCAATGTTATGCCGTTGGATTTTGATTTACATTAAACGCTTCGGAGTTGGCGCGAGGAATTCTTCTTTTCAGGAGAGAAGTGACGAATTTTTTCTCACGTGAATAAAACCTTTTCTTGTGCACTCCAATGAGAATTGAATTGATCAAATTTAATATCCAGCATTCAGATATCAAATTAGCTGATATATATTTTATCAAATTACGGAAAATCTCAGTAATGGAAGAACGCAATTTGTGTCTTTCAGTTATTTCTGATAGTTGCTAATGTCATGTTGTAAATTAATTATTAACGTGGTATATATTTATTATCTTTGAGATATCATAACTTAATTATTACGTCTAGTACTGAATAATTACGGACCAGTGAAATGCGTCCAATCCCTTGATGCGCCCAATCCCAATCGTACATTGAAGGCCCTGATTAACATAATTTTCCAGACCAATATAATTATACCAATTAAAAGCCACTGCAAAATTTCTAAAAACGACTATCAAAAGTAAAAATATACTACTAAAAGACTGAATACTCAGGTAAATAAACATTTCATATTTTGATTTATAACTCCAAGCAAGCCCCCACATTCAAATATAATTTTCATTTTTAAAAATGTTCTTTTCTCAGTGCAAAATATTTATACCCGAGCTAAAACCCCCTTCGAACCCCCCGAGGAATATCTTCAAAAAAATCTTCTCTCTCCCGTGAAGAATACCAATCCTAAAATATCCATGACCATCGAATATTGATATTTTCCAAAAAATGAATAAATGATGAAAACACCCGTTAGATGAGAGAGCGC